ATATGGGCCCCGTACAAGTGGTTTGTGAAGAGCAAGGTAATCTCAATTCAGATGAATGCTGCCCAGGTTCTCGTCAGATGAATAGAACTCCTTTCCCGGATGGATAATACCTTTCATTTATACGAAGATTAATGGTCTAACTATGACCTTCAGGAACTGCAGGCAACATCAGCTCTTCATCAATGAGGCAAGCAACGCATACTCGTCTTCATAGTCTCTTAAGGTGTGGGGGCCACAAGCTTGGTCCATCATGTCTGCAGAATGCCATTACAACGGAGCTCGACTGGAAATTTGTGAGCAACCGCATATTGGCAACAATTTTTCTTCCCAACAGAGTGGCGGTAGCGATTCCTAGCTGATTTGGCCCGTACTGCCGCCGGCTACGGGCCGCCGTCGGACGCACTCGTCAGTCCGCGTCCGCTTCTTTTCCAGAGACGATATTTCCTGATCCGGCAGTCTAAGCGCGGAGTAAACCCACAACCCACCGGACCGTGGAGACGACAGCGGGGACTTGGGGGCGGCACTCAAGGGCCTTGACCTATCCAGTCCCAGGTAAATCGAACGTATAATCTCTATTTCCCCCCTGTGCAACTGAAGTATCATCGTCGAGTGGTTGTCGTAGGGTCCGCAAACAACGTCATATTCTTGGCTTAAGAGAGTGCGGTCTCCGCGGCCCATAGCTCCGCAACGTTGTCCATGGTACCCTGTGTCGGCACTCCGCGGACGCGGTCTCATGTGCCGATCGCCCTTGTTGATATAAAGTCGCCAGTCTGCAGAAACTTCGAATGAACATGTTTTTTGGCTCTCATGGTCTAGTCTTAGCCTAATATTCATTGCATCTTTGAAAATGTCAAATTTTACAACAACAACTTCGCCCGTGGACCACATTCCGTCCTTTAGCATACTGGCTACGGCTGGCTCCACATTGCTCGTCGGCTTGCTTTATGCTCTTTATAACTACCTACTTCCCAAGCCGATCCCAGGAATCCCATACAACACAGAGGTCGTCAAGTCCCTTCTCGGAGACATCCCCAGGCTCCAGAAAGAATCACCCGAAACCCCTTTCAGATGGATGATTGAACAAGCGCGTCGACATGACAGCCCCTTGTCTCAGTTCTTCCTCCAGCCCTTCCACAAGCCGACGGTGTTCATCGCCGACTTCCGCGAGGGGCAGGATATCCTCATGCGTCGCAAAGAATTCGATCGTTCCGACTTCACCATCAGCCTATTGGGCGGAGAGGCCCCTAGCTTCCACATCAACTTGAAGACAGGGCCGGAATGGAAAGCCCACCGACGCTTGCTCCAGGACCTTATGACCCCAAACTTTCTCAACAATGTCGCGGCCCCGAACATATACAAGAGCGCTAGAAATCTTCTGGACCTGTGGAAGATGAAGACGGCTGCCACTGATAAGCCTTTCAGCGCCGAGCAAGACATCTTCTACACAGCTCTGGATGCAGTCTTCGACTTTGGATTCGGTTCCAGCGTGGAACATCGAGCACTGATCCCACAGATTAGGATGCTTCAGAGTGGCAGCGAGAAGAAGGCTGGTATTGATGAGTCGAACACAAAGGCGGCCAGCTTTCCTATCGCACCCATCCATCCAACTTTGGAGACGGCTATAAAGACGGCTGACAACGTCACCGGAGTTGCTGCTACAGGATTTCCCGACATCGCATGGTGGCTGATTGGCCTCAAGCCCAGCGTCAAAAGCATGAGAACTTTCAGAAAAGCATTCTTCAAAGAGCAAGTTCAGAAAGCGGTCAAAAGATATGAAGGCCAGGCTCAGGACAATGACGACAGCTATGTCAAGTCTGCAATTGATCTGATGATCCATAGAGAAACTGTTTTTGCGGGCAAAGAGAACCGCAAGCCGATATATTGGTCTGATGCAATGAATGACGAGGTGAGTACTTTTTCTGGCTCTTCTCAAAGAAGTGTTGTTTGCAGAACTGACTGACGACTTTTGATGCAGTTGCTTGGTTTCGTCGTAGCAGGACATGATACCACAAGTACAACCCTTTGCTGGGGAGTGAAGTTTCTGAGCGATAATCCTGCTTGTCAGCAACAGCTTCGCGAGAGCCTTCGGGCTGCTCACCCAAACGCCATTAGCGATGACCGCCTCCCGTCCCACGAGGAGATAACAGGAGCTAGCATACCTTACTTGGATGCCGTTGTCGAAGAAATGCTCCGACTTTCGCACACCGCTATCGGTCAGGAGAGACAAGCCAAGGAGGACACAATCATCCTGGGTCACCATATTCCCAAAGGCACCTCCGTCTTCATTCCCAACCGTGGTCCCAGTTTCACAGAACCAGGTTTCGAAGTCGACGAGAAACTGCGCAGCGCTTCGTCTCGAATGGCAGCAGAGGAGCGCGGCTTGCGGGTGTGGGGCTCTGACGGCATGGACGATTTCCGCCCTGAGCGCTGGCTCACAAAGAACGAGAACGGTGAGGTCGTCTTCGACGCGTTGGCTGGGCCGACTTTGCCGTTTGGTCTTGGTCTTCGAGGCTGTTTCGGTCGCAAGTTGGCATACCTGGAACTTAGGCTTTTGGTGACTCTGCTAGTGTGGTCGTTTGATTTCCGGACTTGCGATGAGTGTCTATCCGACTATGATGACATTGAAACATTGACGCGAAAGCCGAAGCAGTGCTTTGTGGATTTGGAGATTCTGTAGTTAGCCATAGGGAGAAGCGAGAGCGTTGCATTGGCATCAGGGTTGGCATAGATGCGCAGGATTTGTACTTTTTCGAGTCGAATTGGAAGTCGCAGCTCAATATCACCTACTACAAAGCAGTCGTATTAAAGCACACAGTTTCTTGCAGTATAAGGGAAATGAGTCAGGTGAGCATGCAGTGCGAACTCCTATGAAAACCGCCGCTTTTCGCTCTGGAGTCTAGATAATCGCAGCAAAGACGCGTGTGTCCATGAATTGATCCTCCTCGACATGATGCATAATGCATGCCTGTGGATCAAGCCGTTGAGAATCCGTTCGTTGTGTCTCTTTTGCATTCAGGAACTAGATCGCCTAGGTAGTTGACATGGGAAGCCTGAGCCGCCCATGTTTTCAGTAAGAATAACACTCTTAAAAGCAGTATCTGAACGCCCCTCAGATGCTGACCTTAACAAGAAGCAGCTGTCTCACCGTACGAAATTGTTAGTACATGAGTCCGAGCGGACAAAAGCAGCGATAAAGCTAACCTGTTAGGACTGCGATGAGGCGCAACGAGGCGCACCGCGGCAACCTAGGGAATGCTACAGTGTTGAAATCAGCCACGTTAAGCGCCCTGTATTTGGCAAAGTGGTTCCTGAAACCAGCCACAGTCGGTATCTGCCTAGCTGACAGTGCAACGTATTCCTGGTGACGGACGGACTGAAACTTCGTGTCTGACACGCTAGGAACATGCCACGCCTCAAAGTCCCCATAAACACTCACTCGGAGGCAGCAGGATTTCTGTTGCTATATAGGTTGCCTTCTAATCCTCCTCCCCAAAAATCATCATTTGACGCACAGCCTTCCTATCTTTTGAACGTAAGAAATACGCGAAACAAATACAACGAAGAACTCTGGTGACTCCTCCCACATACGTATCTGCCAACGTCGAATTCGCAGCTAGCCTATCGCAATCCCGCGACAATGGAACCCATCCGCGCCCGTAGACGACCCACTCCGGCGCCGGCAGCAGAAAGGCCGCTCCGGTCTGCCGACAAGGAGGCCTCCGACCGCACCCAGTTCGCCGGTTTCACAGATCTGCCCGCAGAAATCCACCTTCTCATTTCCAAGCAACTCATCTACCCCGACGCCCTCTCACTGAAACACACCAGCAGCTACTTCTACTACCTCGTTGACACGGGCGTACGACTCAAGGTTGAGTGGCTGATGGAGCGCCGCATGCTTCATCTTGAGTGTCCAAACGATAAACGGTGTGACCTTGGCAGCGACCTACGCTTCTGTAGAGGCAGTGTCCCGTATGTTGTTCCAGAATTCTATCCTGACATTACTTCTTTGCCTTTCATCGTCTCGTACCTGCTACTTCTATCTAACCTTTGGACCAGGCTTCTGATGCAAAGGCGACGTGAACACATGGAGTGCGAGTCAAGGCCGGGACTTGGCTGCCTAGTTTATGGCACTTCCGTGTGCTCTCATCGACGAAAGATTGGCGCGAGGTGTTCACGCTGGTTGAGGCGACGGCTGACCGTAGAGTTATGGTGGGTGTTGATTGCCCTGATACCGATTGCTTTCTGTTGGCTTTGGATGGCAGAGTTCGCCACGTGGGCCGCGAGTGCATACAGAGTCTCTTCTTCTTTCACAGACTCAATGACGCGATGACATACTGGCTGAGGACAAAGAACGTGTCTGGTTCGGTTCTATTCCAAGTACATTCCCACTTATATAGCTTGTCAATAATGTCTAATACCTACGAGAAGGCCTGTCCCCTACGTTGGAACCGCCTGAATGAATGTGCGTGCTATCATTAGGGATACCCAAACTCTACCGAAAAGGGTTCGGGAATGCCATTACATGTTGGTGACAGGCCGACGGCAATTTTACTCTTGTTTGATATCAGAGACATTTGAGACTCATAGACGACTTCAAACAAAAACATAACACGCCCATCTCAGTTGAGAGGTAGATGATATGCGTGTATGAAGGCATTATGCTTTGAAGGCTCACATAAGAAAGAATTCTCTCTGGAGAATGCTTTCAGCCTGACAAAGAGTTCTCGGGCCAGTCTCTTTGAGGTGGAAATTTTAACATCAGGTCGGCGGCATACGATTTAGCTTTTGGTATTGTTTTCAAAATGATTAATGGCTTGGCATGAGGTTTTCTGTGGATCAATACGCCCAGCTATGCCCAGAGTACTAAGTCCGGGAATCTGACGTGTGATCCATGCTTTGCCTTCGTAGGCGTCACTCTCACCAAAGACTTGATACTCGAGGAGGGTCTCAAGCAAAACATGTCCATATAGCATTCAAACGAGCGCACCATTCGAAGCGGAATGCCAAAAGTTGCCAACTTCATATTCAAGAACGCCTTCCCAGGCCTTGAAGAGCTGTCTTCACGCTCTCCCAACGTTTACAATCACCAGTGCATGCTAACCGAGATCCAAACCATCTTTGTCGACGAGAGCAACACTCGGCTCACAGTCTGCGACAGTGAAGGCCACGAGATATGCAGTTTATCAGGGGCTCAGTTAAAAACAACATTGACAACTCCCTCAGGTCCGGCCATACCATCGCCATCTTGTATCTTTTCTGCAGTCATACCAAGCACCCTTTTGTTGATCAAATTGGTATATTTTGTGTGGCTTTCAATCCGGAAAAGTAAAACGGAAGACTGGTCGCCAAAACCAGAAGGCTACTTGTCTTATTGAAAAAACTTCTTTTCACTAACACTATGATTCTGTTGGTCCCTCCAATCAGTCTTTCTCAGCTCATCTACCTGAACTAAGATCTCTGTAGACACGCTGGCCGGTGCAAGACCTTCTACACTTGCAGGAAGAATACCCAAGACTACCGACACCAACACTAAGTGCAACTGATGTCATTTACCCGTCTACTGTCATAAGTTATGCTGAAAATCTTTACAATTGACGAATCTAAGCACTGTGGAGAGATCCCCAGACTGACTAGTTGGTGTGCAGATCTGCGCGAAAGCAGGGCTCAAAATGGGCCAACACGGAGCTTGTTATTTGTTGCAGGATATGCCATGATCTCGATAGAACAGATAAAAGATCAAATTCCGGGATTGAGTCAGAGGATTGAGGCATAGTCATAGCGTGAGGAGCTCGTACCAGCTATCGACCATGTTTCGCTATCAAAGTACGATTGCTCGCGAACGAATCAGTGACAGGTATCGATAGATTGCAATCTTAAGCCTTTACGATGGTCCTGGAAGTTTCGAACTTCACATGTATGTTTGTGGAATCTGTCTCTGGCGACGCGTGCATGAGGCGACTAGACTTTGGCATCTTGCCTTGTTGGCCAGAGCCCAATCAGACGACGTTGTTTGCTTGCCCTTCCGAGATAAGTATATGAACCGTTGGCCCTGCCTTCAATTCTTGCTCTGAATTCGGTACGATATCTCTCCGATAAAACACGGGTAGTCCCATGTTCATCCTCTTGTTATCGAAGCGTAGTGCCAGATGTTCCATGTCGACTTTCGTGACACACTGGCCTCAAGCAAACCTCCCCCGCTGCTGTGCGCCGACCTGCACCTCACAACCCCCACATACGTATCTCTTAAGTTAGGTACATAGAATTGGATGTTGCAATTGCCAGCAGAGGCAGGCGAGAATCTCATATGTATCATCTATAGAAATGTGTAGTGACGATGAATTCCAGTCCAAAAGTGAAGTGCGGGAGGAACCTTCGATCCACTCAAGACAGCGGACAAGTAAGGCAAGATCACTAAGGACATCCTAGATTGAGTGGATTCAGGTGTCTATTTCGAGGAGTCAAAGAAAGTCAATAGAACTATAGACACCTATACGCTCTTCAGCACCACCCAAGCCGATGACTACGGCATCTTATTGCAGGGCATTTGATCTAAGACTGGCGATGAACCTTGATCCGTCGCCAGGTAAAAGTTGTAACACGGCATGGCCGCAAGCGGGGGATCTACGAATGGCAAGGCGAGAATAAGCTCATGAGAAACGTGGAAACTAGTACGAATTTGAAAAGGCCGACTTCAGAGGAAAGAGATGCTATATTAGGCCGACTGGTTTACTTTCCGTCACCGGGCAGGTGTGACAGAACCACAAGGTCAATATTGGGTTTACGTAGGTTTTCTTAGTTCCCGACGGGATGATCAATTGGCCGATCTCTTCGTGGACAATCCGCAAAATTGGACTGAGCTCTACCGCCCCCAAGAGTGGCTCATTCATTGAATAGCATGCGATCCAGCTAACGCGTCTCTGGCTAAAATATTAACGAGTCTCAAGACCAGCCTGTATTTTAGTGAAGACATTTCGAAAGTGGTATATCCAATTCAGGCGAAAGTCGGCGTCTGCCGTCTACCGAAACGGTTCAGGTTTGATAAACAGAGAAGCTAATCTATGTGCACCTTGTATCACCCTCCAGCAGAGACAACCATCTAATCAAGCCGATTCACCTGTCATACATCAAGGGTCTCCCATCCTTATAGCCTTTCAAGCTCCAGAACCTCCTCGTTATTTCCAAATTTCGACTAGCTCTCCCCAAACCTAGCGGTCCGTTGCCAAGTGAATTAAGCTCGGGCGAAACCGAGTTGAGGTGACACTGATGTGCGTTTCCCTTCATCGGGATCAGCGTCCAAGCTTGATCCCCTCCAACAGGACCCATCTTGAAACACGCATCGCGCCTTTCCGAGGAATGCTTAAATGGTGGCACCTCTTTGTTTCTCTTCCTTAAAAGTCCGATGCAGAGCCGCCTGGCCTTTCCCCACATCTTGCACGACCTGCTTGACCGTTAGACTTGTCGAGGGTGATGCTGTAATCATCAACGACAAGCCAAGAAGGGTATCGACGAACCCTCAATTTCCGCCCTCCCGATATATCTCAATATGCACTGGCTCCGTGCGGCTTTGCTGCTTCCTGTGGCTGTTTCTGCGACATTGAACTTGAAACAGTACAAACCATCGTTGAACCAGCCCAAGTACTCAAACGCAAAGGCCGACTACCAGCAAAATGTTGTGAACAAGGCTCAAGGGGAACCTAAGTTCCTCACAGACAAGACTAAGAGTGCGTTGATAGATGTCACAGTGGTCTATTATCTAACAATTCTGCTCTTAGAGTTTGTCGTCAATGGAACAAAGATTCCCGAAGTTGACTTCGACGTCGGCGAGTCTTATGCAGGATTACTCAACATTGACAAGAACAATGACACAGCCGGGAAGCTGTACTTCTGGTTTTTTCCATCCGAGAGTCAGGCCGCCGACAAGGAGATCATGATCTGGTTGACTGGTGGTGTAAGTCTATGCTATATGATAACCGGGACTCGAACAGAACTAACTTGTATATCCAGCCTGGTTGTTCATCTACCGGAGAACTCCTCTCTGAAAACGGCCCAATGCTCTGGCAGCCAGGAATGTTCAAGCCCATCCGCAACAAATGGAGTTGGCATCGTATCACCAACGTCGTCTGGGTAGACCAGCCTGTGGGTACAGGCTTTTCGCAGGGTACACCCACTGCCAAGGACGAATTCGATGTCGCCCGCCAGTTCCTCAGCTTCTGGCGTAACTTTGTCGACACCTTTGCCATGCAGGGCTACAAGGTCTATGTGACCGGATCCTCGTACAGCGGCATGTACTGCCCCTACATTGCTAGCGCCATGGTTGACAGCAATGACAAGGACTACTTCAACATTGCCGGTATGCAAATCTTTGACGGAACGTACTCGGTCGACAGCATCGGGGAGGAGATTCCTGCAGTTCCCTTCGTGGATCGATGGGAACATGTCTTCGCCTTCAACGACACATTCAGGCAGACGCTAAAGGATGCACATGAGAAGTGTGGCTATGCCGATTACATGCGCAAATGGCTCGTCTATCCTCCTGCCGGACAACAGCCTGCGACAATGCCGGGCCTAGATGAGGATGGCAACGTGAAGACAGAGTGTGACACCTGGACCATGATTCTGGAGGCTGCGACAGAGATCACCCCTTGCTTCAGCGTCTATTCTGTCACAAATCTCTGCCCGTTGAAGTACGACCCTCTTGGATTCAGCGACGGCTCTATGTACAGGCCAAAGGGGGCGGGACCAGTCTACTTCAACCGAGAAGACGTCAAGAAAGCCATCAATGCTCCCTTGGACAAGGAATGGGTCTTTTGCACAGAGACACCCGTGTTCTTCAATGAAACCGACAACTCCATTGACGAAGGGCCGGGAAGTCAACCAGTCTTACCCAACGTAATCGACAAGACACGAAATGTCATTCTCGCACACGGCACCAAGGACTTTGTGCTCATTGACGACGGTACACTTCTCACGATCCAGAACTTGACCTGGGGAGGGCAAATGGGTTTCCAAAAGAAGCCCACCGCACCGCTCTATGTGCCCTATCACACCAACACTGACCCCGAGACGCTGGCCGGCGCTGGTGTGATGGGTACAGTGCACTCGGAGCGAGGCCTGACATATCTTGCTGTATCTACATCAGGCCACTTCCTCGCACAGGATGCCCCTGCCGTGGCGTTCCGCAGTGTCGAAGTATTGGTCGGGAGGCGTGAAGGTTTCGAGTCGACGAACACGTCGTTCACTATCGATCCTAACACGACAGCTCCTGTTGGAGATGCGGGTAACGGTACAGTCTTGATGTTCCCGCAATCCATGGAACCTGGGAGGGGTCAACTTTCAGGCGCCCAACCGGTGAGGAGCAGGGGGTCAGAGGTTTCTGCAGCTGGGGGTCAAGCAATGTTTGCGATGGCTTTAGCGACTATTGTCGCAGTATACATGGAGTTTTGATGGTTTTGAATGTTGGTGTTTTCGGATTTAAGAAAAAGAATAAACGTAAGAAGAATGAGCTCCAAACCCACAATACTAAATGAAACTTGCTGGGCCTACACAACACATGCGGTGTTCGCAATGCGTTTCAGTCAGCCGATAAATATAATTCTAGTTGTTCAAAGTCAGGAAAGTCAGAAGTTTCAAGAGTGTCGGATTGCTAAATCGGATATAAGTCTAGCACATATCCTTCAGGTATGAACCCGTGCGGCCATCATTTGCCTAGTACAGGAGACCAATCGTTCTTTTTGGACCATTCTTCCCAAGTCGTCATGGGACAATCAATACCAGCCTATGCAATTAGCAGTCAATTCTCTGTCCTTAAGATAAAGCACCTCATTCTTCACGGGTTCGAGGGTTGCAGCTCTCACCTTTTGAAGATCAGCTGCGGTCAGCAAATCCATGCCACCATCGTAACCTGGGTCCGAGGAATATGAAAACATGTATGCGACTTCGAGACCAGTGTCGCGCTCTCCAGTCGCCTCAATCATCTCTTCTGGCGTAATTTGCTTATAGCTGGCTTGTACTCCATTTACCTTTGCCCATGTCTCTAGGAACTGGGGCCAAGTGGCAGTTGTTCCTTCGGCCATGTAAGCCTTGCCGGGCGGCATTTGAGAAACGGCGTAGGTGAAGTTGCCCATATCATCGACAGGGGAGAAATGCGGGACAGGCTTGTCAGGAGAGGTTGTGAACGCCATTGTGAATGTGCCATCGGAGTTCTGATGATGCTTTAGAGATGTTGATGGTCACAATAAGGGGGAGTGGCTCACCTTGCCAAAGTATGAGTTGGGAAGAATGTTGTAGCTCGTGTAGAAGTACCCAGTATGGATGCACGACATCTTCGCCGCGAGCTCGGGATATTTTTCGTTCACGTAGCCAGGAAACACCTCAGCCTTGGAATCAAAGTGATACAGCTCTTTAAATTTCCCATCACTGCATTTCTCAGCGTGACTCAATGTTGAAACCAAAAACCCGTTCTTGTCAAGCGAGTCCACTGTCTTGGCCGCAGCATCGACAATATTCCGTCCCTGGCGCAACTCGACATCATACGCGAACTTCCGGCAGGAAATGCCCTGTTCCTGTGCCTTCATGCGACAGTCTGGTCGGAAGAAGGGTTCCCAGTAGTTTGTGACGCTGAAGATGACATTTGCACCCTTGAAAGCTTCTTCGATGGAGGCGGCATCTTCAAGGTCTGCGCTCACGAGCTCCACATCGGACCCGAGAGTGGAAAGGGCAGTAGCGGATGTGGATTTGGTGTCGCGGGTGAGAGCGCGGACGCGGTAGCCAGCGGCCAGGAACCGGCGAGCAACGGAGCCGCCTTGGTTGCCCGTGGCGCCCACGACGACGATGAGCTTTTGGGACATTGTTATCAGTGTTGGTCCGTGGCAAAGACTGAGAGGCGGTGAGTTGACCGGTGGGATAGTAACGTGATGAAACCAGGAGAGACTTTTAGGTTGAATGCCTTGTTAGATGTAGCAATCGTTGAGGTACAAAAAAAGCTTCCGGCTAATACAGCATCAGATGAGTTTGCTGCAGTCCGACGTCCGTGAGTTACTTCTAGAAAATGTTGAGATCGTGGGATCAAAAGTGGTCAAATTCTGTTTCCAGAGGCTCTAAAAGAAAATCATTGACCACTCCATTGCGGCCCATTCCCCGCCGCTTTCGTGACGGGCCAGAAACATGCCGCTTCCCCTCGGCTGGAGGAGACACTAGTGTGAGATAAGTGTCACTAAGAGAGACTAAATCAAGGCCACTAAGTCAGTCTCATACTTAAGCGATGTGCGGAGTTCGGATACATGAGGTGATATCTTAGAGTCGATATGAAGGTGGAGCTCCTTGTCTCGCAAAACTCTTCAGCTATTGGCTCATCAAACTGCCATGAAGCTCACAACGTGCTCACAAGCCTTACCGAACATGGCGATGGCGATCGGGAGCGGATACCATGGTGGGTTTGGCAGCTGAGAGGAAGGGGTCGTAACGTACGGGGGCGGCACGGACGTAGCGCTCGAAGCGGAATAGGGGACGACCCCGGCAGCTCATTGGCGTGATGATGGAGGGGGCTTTATGTGCAAGGCTTTTCCCAGAATTATTCTTCAGCTGGGTTCCCGGGCGATCCGCATTCATCCATCATTTCCTACCGTGGGGTGACATTTTACTTTACCGCTTCTCCATTCCAAGGGGGACACTTGAAGTTTGGCCCTCGTCTGTTTCTCGAACAGAGTCAAATTGTCCAGGGGAAAAGCGAAACCGTTGTTTTCAAAACTCCCGTCTCTCTTTGCACTTCTCCCACCGGGAACAGACGGCTGACGGCAGACGGCCTGCCGATCACGCGCTCCCTTTTCCAATGACGTCGCGTCCGTCAACTACCGGCGGTTCCAGTACCGCGGACTCGGGACCGGCCACCGGGACCCCCTCTAGTGCCGGTCCAGTCCAAACACCAACCCCTTTGACTAGCAGTACGGGAGCGACGACACCTCCCCGTGCCGTAGCACCGACCAGTATCCAGTATTTGCTTAATCCGGCGGCAGATCAGACCTTGACGCCGCTCCAAGTCGACGTAAGCTTATCACCGCCAGGGTCCTTCTCCCTTTGGAGACTCCCTTGGGACTTGAGGCAAGGCCATGTGCACTAACGTTACCTTGTGCCCCCGTATTACAGACCGATATTACAAACCCTGGCGAGGATCATGACTCGGCCTACGGCTCCGATGCTGGCAGTGCTTACACGGCCTCCATAGCATCCTCCATCTTCCACTATCAGTACGAGAACGGGCGGCGATACCACGCCTACCGCGAGGGGCAATACGTGCTTCCCAATGACGATCAAGAGCAAGAACGACTCGACCTGCAGCACCACATCTGGCGTCTCCTCCTCGGAGGCCAGCTTTACACCGCGCCACTCCCCACACCAGAGGATCCGGCGGCCTCTGGTATGAGGATCCTCGATCTCGGTACAGGAACGGGAATATGGGCCATAGAGATGGCAGATGAATTTCCCACGGCTGACGTATACGGTGTCGATCTCTCGCCCATTCAACCGGAATGGGTTCCCACGAACTGCAAATTCCATGTCGATGATTACGAGGATGAGTGGACATACCGTGAGGAGGAGCACTTCGACTATATTCACGGCCGCGCGCTCAGCGGAACGTCCTCTGATTGGGCAAGATTTTACGACCGTGTCATGGGTGGCTTGAAGCCAGGCGGATGGGTTGAAATGCAAGAGTACGATGCATGGATCTTCAGCGACGACGATAGCTATGAGAGAGCGCCCTGGACGAAGGAGTGGGTGACCAAGCTAGACGAGGCAAGCAAAATGTACGGGAAGCAAATCAACGTGGCGAGATACCACAAACAGTGGATGATTGATGCCGGCTTCGAGGATGTCCAGGAACTTGTTTACAGAGTAAGTGTTTTCAGTTAACAGCTAAGCCTATACCCTAGGAGACGTGCTCACGCTATTTACAGATACCCATCGGTCCATGGGCGAAAGACCCGGCATTGAAGGAGCTTGGTCGCTGCGAACTTGTCCATATGCAGATGTCTGTCGACTCTCACACTCCGGCCTTGTTCACGAGAGTACTGAACTACTCGCACGACCAAGCCAGAGTGCTTATGGAGGGTGTCAAGCGAGAGTTCCGTAGCAAGGACTACAGGCTTATCACAAGCTATCGGTTTGTCACCGGAAGAAAACCGATGGCATGATAGTAAGTTGTTGACGTAAAGATATCATCGGCCACTTGCTCCTTGCAGCATTGGTGAGCCGATTGAGGAGTTGGGGTGACTTTGGTGGCGAAAACCATGGGATTGGCGTATCATAGCTCATCGATGTATCAGCGAGAGCGTTCCTTGGAACGAGAGACATCCAAAACAACAGGAAGACTCTTTTTAATGTCCTCTTAGTTCTCACCGCTTGGGAGGGTCAGAAAGTGAGTGAGATGACTGAGATCTGAGAAATAGCTCTCGGTGTTCCCCTGACTTTGAAGTAGTGTTATCCAAGTGAGAATTTCTGGCCAACGCAAATGAATGCGACCAGACTGACTTACTGCCAGTGCAATGACTATCTTAGGTACTGTGTTGAGGAGCTCGAAGACCTCAGATCACTGTCCTTTCTTCTTCCTTCGAATCCTATGAAACTACGAATAGAGGCTTCAAGTTCTGACGACGGTCCACAAATAGGGCTATTACTATCAGCGCAACAATACGCACGGGAGATCGGTACGACGACCCAAGTCACTACATGTAGTGAACGAGTGTCCGACAACCCGGTCGATGTTTCTCTGACGCAAGCATCTGATACTCCATCTTACCAAATGGTCGGATCCGTGAGCCAATTTTCTCATGAGGCCCCGGTGCACAAAAAGAGGGGTTACACATTACGTTTTCCCAATCCGCCTTCCACGCCGCTCTCCCGCAGGACGATCTTACCCGAACCCGGCGCGTGTTGCGCTCGGCGCCATTCCGCAATGCTCCAACAGCTTCCGTATAGCGTCCGCCGGCGTCCACCAGCATCCAACGCTCTGTCTTAGTTACCTAACAACATCCAACAATCAAGCAACCACAGCCCGATTCATGTACTCAGAGCCAACGCGAAAGCAAAGGGATCTTTGAGTCGCCGGGCGTGGGCTGGACCCCTCGTTTCAATATGCAGGATGGCTGTTTGCCTACCAGGGGTCTTTCACGGCCAATCAGATCTCCGCATTTCCTCTCGTTGTTGGTGCGAGTTGTCCTGTCAGATATCAAAAGCGTGTTGGTTCGCCGTTGGGCCACAGGAACGGACATTCCTCCGAAGTCTCCACGATTTCCGCCTTTCCATCGGTTCTCCCGCCTCCGTTGCGGAGTTCATTCGACCTCATGTCATAGGAGAAAAAGAAACACTTTCGCCACAACAGGCTCTTACGCTTGATAAAAATCCTTGCAACCTTCATTCTTTAGCTTTCGTCGCATTTGTCTACCCCGAATTTCCAGTAAGGTTCGCCATCCTCGAAGATTTAGTCCGCTGATCGTCTATCGTGCCACCCTTCAACGATGTCGGCTCCAGCGGCACCGCAGCCTTCAACGTCTCTGGAGGCTGACGAAATACCAGACGACATCTCCATGACAACATCCGTTGATGAGGAAAGCGAGCTCGAGTCCGACGGCGAGGATTCGGACCTTGACTCGTCCCTGGGCGCTGAGGTGCAACCTTCCACAATGTCTCTGCGCAGCAGCATACTCCGTTACCGAGAGGAGAATGGCCGCACATATCACGCCTACAAGGATGGTGCCTATCTATTTCCTAACGACGACCTCGAACTCGACCGCCTAGACCTCCAGCACAATCTATGTCTACTCACCCTCGGCGATAAGCTACATTTATCTCCGTTGAGTAAAGAGCGGCCACCGCAACGGGTTTTGGATGTCGGTACAGGGACAGGAATCTGGGCGATTGACTTTGCCGACGAGAACCCCAGCTCGACTATCATTGGCGTGGACTTGAGCCCGGTGCAACCTTCATACGTTCCGCCTAACGTCTACTTCCAAATTGATGATATTGAAGACGAACCTTGGACATTTTCGCAAAAGTTTGATTTCGTTTACAGCCGAATGAACACGGGTGGTATTCGAGACTTCCCCAAGTTGTTCCGGCAGTCATTCGCAAATCTGAATCCGGGAGGCTGGTTCGAGTGTGCCGACGGAGCGCAAGCCATGTCTGATGATGGCACACTAACAAAAGAGTCGGCACTGTATCAATGGAACCAGTTTCTTTTCCAAGGGACGGGGGAGCGGGGGACGCCATTTGGTGGAGCCACACATTATAAGCGACAACTTCGAGAGGCGGGATTCGTGAATGTGAAGGAGGTCGTCTTCAAATGGCCGACAAACAGATGGGCTAAGCACCCAAGGCACAAGGAACTTGGTAAGTGAAGCAGACTCTCTGTATTTCAGCCCGTCTGGAAACTAGCTTTTCGTACTGCATCGCGTTTTCAACTTGCTATTTAGTTATGAACCTTTTTTGATACTGATAATGTGGCTAGGTTCATGGAACCACGAAAATGTGATGATGGGGCTGGAGGGTCTCAGTGTTGGGCTATTTACTCGGGTTCTCGGATGGTCAAGAGAGAGCGTTGATGTCTTCCTTGCCGAAGTTCGAAAGGATTTGAGCAACACGGCGATTCATGCATACTGGCCAGTGTACGTATCAGATCATCAGCAATCTGTGAATGTTATTGACGTCATTTACAGTCATGTCGTGTACGGACAAAAGCCATCATAGCGAAGGTGTTGCATTCATTGATAATGATTTACGCCATTTAGAAGTTTCCCGTATTCTTCCAGCTGGAGTTGTATAACGACGGCATTCCCATGCATGAGACTTCCCTGGAGCTTATTCATTTGTATGTACGGGTATATATGTATATATATGCGGATGTATACGGTGATTCTTTCTGCTCTTTACCACTGTTGCTCTCGACCGTCACCACTCGGACTACATAAAACAGGGATATCTCATGGGAAAACGCTTGTGAACCTCATAGTCCCGCTTGCTGCTCTAGCCGATATTGCTAATCCTCTGAGACTAACTTCAGTAGGTAGGCTTGGGCTTCTGGTCATTGAGAGGATATATGTCATTGCCTCGCTCCTAGTGAATCTTCTGAGTTGAGTAATTTAAGGACACTAAATACGTTAGAATGCAACCAAGTTGGAATTTGCAGCGAACCAATGACCTACACATTCGACGAACTAGACCATAATTGTCAGCTTTGGCTCCATCACACGAGCAAGTTAAAGATAACTTACACCTCTTCCACCAAGGCACGATTGTAGAACTGGACGTCCGTTTTCAGGATACGAACAAGTTCGGGGAATTGGAAAGTTGCTAGATGTTTTGATGTTTTCACCCTCTTGACACTGTGTGGATGTGGTGAGCAAAGGACAAGGTCAAGGCTTCAAAAATCTTACGCAGTATGTGTTAGGCTGCAAGTCATTATTAGTGCTGCCTCCCAAAGATCGACTTGAGGATCTTGAACTTACGTAGGCTCCAGGGCATTTTGATCCCGCCGGCTTGCCCCATCCGTAATTGCAGACAGCGGCGTTGGAAGACGTGGCAAGGGCGACGATGACGGCGGTGAGGTACTTCATTTTGAGGTTCGGCGGGCCTTGGACTAGCAGGAACTGTGTCGTTAGAATTCGAATGCTGCAAAAAGGGAAGAAAGATCTCGGATTTGTGAATCAAGAAATACCACGACACGTTCAGTACACTGATTCTAAGCCTCTTTTGATTTTGATTGAGGCAGAAGATCTTCATCATATTGTAGTCTCATTAACTTAATTATATTAAGCCTTCATCAAACCGTGGGCCAAAGCGGGCGGGCCCCGAGTCAGTTCATGGCTGTAATGCTCGCTCTTTCCACATTTGCTTCGTTTTCGGCTACAACGGTCCGCTGCCTGAGTCCGAACCAAGTAGGTAGCTATCATTTGTGCATTGCCGATGGTCAGTAATTCCAGATTATGGGCAAGGCCTGATGACAAAGGATGCCAGATCACGTCCTTGTAGCGGTTGTCTATAATCCAGTGATCGATCGCACCCATCATTATCGCAGAGCACGTACGACTAGTGGGTTCCCAATACCTGGACACTGCGGATTGACACTTCGGGGCATCTACTATTAGTACACAGACCAAAAACCGATGCAGCCTCATTCATGCTCGCGTTCGCACCCATGTCTGACCCGCCTTCTCAGTGCATGCCACGACAACGAAGAGGGCCGGCCGGTCGCAACCCACCCGCGTATCGGCGTGCGAGCGCGCTCCCCGGGAATGGATTGCGCGTCCGTTTTGCGTCGGTGTAGCGGGCTTTGCCAAGCTGCCGTCCTCGTTCCTAATTTGAATTTGAATTGGGCCAGCAAACGAACGCCGATCAGAACCTCAATGGATTCTCTTTCCTACAAAAGCAGCGCCTCTTGTCACACGAATCTGTTTTAGATCTCATCGCCAGAATTCCTTCTGGTCGAGAAAATTGGTGCAAATCATGACCAGGATGGCAACTCTTCAGTAGGAGGTTTCAATGAGAAGTGATGGATCGAATCGTTCGGCGCGGAGGCTGGAATTCAAACCACATCACGAGTTAGGCAGTTGAACACTTCGGCCTGGTAGCCTGGCAGCCAATGGCATGGTTGACATTTGACAGAATGGTTCGAGGTGGGCGGAGTACATGAGATAGTAGAAGAACAGCGAGTCCGATATCAACAATCTGCTTAGATAAAACCCCCAGGCCAGCACTAGCTTTCATTCAGTGCTTTGTGGACTATGCGGGCCTTGAAGTTTTGGAGCAGCCCAGGCTCTGCAAAATGGGGGATTCCAGATTCCTGGGGTTTCCGACTCATGTTTTCATGCCAGTCCATCCATCGAAGAATACGGATATCTCGGCAACATGGGGAATTAGTTTGAGCCGTCATATCCACGTACAGAGGCCTGATTTCACCTTATGCTGGACATTCGCATAGTGAGTGAAGCGGATGACTTCGTTATTGATCGAATCACTAAGACTGATACATAAGTTCCGTATTCTCGAGGTCCTGGTTGCCATGAGTTCTTCTCTCTCGTCTATCACAACCGCGCCACCACGGTTGACATCTGACGGGTATTCCGTGTACAATAGTGTCAATCTCTACATAGATTTTTATGCCCAGCCGCGACTTACATCACTGATCGGATACATTAAA